TTTAAGTCAGATCACTGTACTGATGGTTGTCAGTGGCTAAGCACCTGAAATCTATTAGTAGTTGACTCTCTGCAGGTATGTAGAGAATGTTCTCTTCTTTTATCCATTTAATTAACCTCAATTCAAGAATTCATCATTAAGAGTTCAGAAATTAAAGGAAGAGTCCTTTCTTCAATTAGACTTAAGAATGGTATTTAAGAACATAAGATCTACAAGTTGTAAAATTTTGGAAGACATGATAACCAGAAAACACCTTGTAGGTCCCTGACTGTAATATTTGTTTTAGTAAGTAGTTAGCTTTAAAAAGAAAACATGCTTGGATAAACATATTTTCAATTAATACTTGTATAAACTAATATAGTAATTTTGTTCTTTTTTCTTTCTATGTTTTTAAGCAGCATTTCAAGAATCTGAACAACCTTTAAACTATAGGTTCAAACAAGCACATGTTCTCCTAGTTTTTGTCTTTCTTAGCAAAATGTAGCTCTGAGTTATACATACCAACAAGAGCTGTTCCATCCCAGGAATACCATTAAGCATTAATAAGGCAAAACTATTTTAAAGTCAGTTATTTAAATATCATTTAAACAACAAACTAATATGGATTTTAATATTCATATGATAGGTAAGTTTAAATATCTACTTAAAAGAGTTATTTCATACCCGTGTCTTGTAAAAATGTTAGTAAAATATTTAGAAAACCTGGAAAAAGGCAACTTGAATGAGTTCTCAGTGCTCTCTCGAAGTGCACAGTAGTAGGGCAACTTCTGTAAGGCAAAGAGGAATTGCCTTGCACAAGCAAAATCTGGATATGAAATGCAGATTGCTACAGCTGTGGAGAAACCCAAGCTTAAGCAGCTCTGGTACTCACTGGATTTCATTTAATAACTTTTAGTACTACAAGTCACCCTCAGAGCCAATGCCTAAAAAGAAAGTTAACAAAATTTAAAATATGCGTTAAAAGGAGACTTTGACACAACATTTGCTCAAATTCTTTTTGGTGCTAATTTTTTTTTACCTATACATCCTCTATGCAAGTAGATATATTTAATAGTAATGGGAAAAGTAAAAGGAAAAATTGTAAAACTGATATAAGAAAAAAATCCAAAATTAGTATTTCGTCCACGAGCTTTGTCTCTTATTCCCATGTTAAAAGAATTTTAGACTTATTACAATAATAAGCGAGGAAATTTACCGATATGAAATTGGATGTACTGGCTCTTTAAGATAACTTTGAAATGACCATGGAAATTTTGTGTAAATATTTTGTGTAAAAGTGTAAATATTTTAATGATAGCATGCATTATAAAGAGATTTCTTGCTTTATGTGTACTAGCAAATAGCAGTGCAATCATTTGTGTTTAACACACAATAAGAAGCCAGACTAGAAAGAAAGACTACTACTGACCCTGAGATGGTTAAATAAAAAATAAAAAATACATAGTTCTAGTATAGACATTTTCATCTTTTGTTCTCCCAGTGTTCTACAAAAATACCTAATTTTAAAATATATAGAGCAAGAGAGAGTGTGTATGTATCTGAAGTCAACAACTGAGCATTTGCAGGGCTGGATTTCTAAATATCTGTGCTAAAACAATACTGGTTTTCACCTCTGTGCACAACTCCCAGAGAGAGGAGTAGTAGTGGATAGAGGACAGCATATGGCAGTAGGATCCATTTAAATCTTGTTCCACACAGTGCAACTGTATTAAATCCTGGCTTCTTTAAAATCTGTGCTGAAATTCTTGTAAACCTCAGCTCATTTACTATTTCAGACAGAGAATGTAGAATTGTAATTTGAGTTATATCAAAGACAAATTCTTGCCCCAGGTGCCTGAACTAGGCATGTTTCTATTTCCCAGCTCACAGTTGAGTATTGCCCATTGTAACCATGCAAGTCGCAGGGATAAATGAGCTCTGTTCCATGGCCACATCTGAATTCAGTGAACGTCATTTACCCCCAAAGTAAAAAGAGAGTTTGTGTGTGCCAGTCCCTGGACTTGTTCAGAGAGAAAGAAGCATATCCCTATCTGTGCATACCTCTCATTCAGAATATACATCTTGAATACAAACTTGTACTAAAATTAATGGAGAGGCTGAGGTACTTTGGTATAAACATTCAGAAGGACAATCAGTATCTTCTTTTTTGCTTCAGTCATTTGCCATGTTTAAGCTATTCGAAAGCAATATTTACTTCATATTTCTAGTTTCTCAGGATAAATATAATCTGAAACATCTGGAAAATCCTTATACACTAGTCATGCTGAAGTAATGCTCAGGGGGGATGTGAGCATGCTTACTGGCTCGAGCAATGTTTTGGATCCCTGTCCTCTGAATTTGATAGAAAGCAAAATGTAGTATCATTTTACTTAACCCCACAGTATCCAGACCAATACAGTGAGCACTTTGCAAAATACATGCACAAGATACATCAAAGGTTCGGTGACTGAAGACATTTAGCTTCTACTGAAATGAGACTGAGCAAACTTCGAAAATTTGGTTCCAATAGTTTTTTTTTCCCATTCCACAGCAAACAGATAATTTTATGTAAAACTGGTTCTTCTGAAGTCCACCCCCAACTATGTAAGAAAAACCACTGTTCAACAGCAATTTGAAAACTGGTGTGGTAGCATGAAAGTTAAAATCAATGTCAAAGTTCCCAATAACTAAACTGGAAGCAAGATACTTTTATGATTTCAAAGGAGATGCAGAGCATGAATTGCGTTCTGAGAACAATCTCTCTTTTCTAAACAGCGCTAAGAACGGCAGGATTTCGAAACGGCAGTTTGGGAAGCCGGCCTAGTGCTCCTTTTAGAAGCAATGTTTATCAGCCAACTGAGATGGCAGTTGTGCTAAATGGTGGGACTGTAAGTATCAAAATGTGATGATTTAAGAAATCTTTGATATGCACTGATATATACAACCACTACTAATTGAAAAACCTGCTTTTAGCTTATTCACAGCAGGGGGGAAAGCTATAAATGAAAATTCGGGCAGCAAGTATGCATGTAATGCTTCCCTTCCCACTAGAAACGATGTAATTACAAAGTATTTTGCATTTCTTTACTTGGCCATTCACATTTTGCAGTGTAGTTTGAGTGATCCAAGTTCTTTGGTGAGACTACATATTCAGTGGCCCTTTCAAATTAAATTTGTGTTAAAATATTTAACACAACTATTAAGTGACACAATTTCTAACCTGTTATTTTTTCAAGATGATATGAGTCATGCAAATGTTTATAGCCCAGTGCATTAATTTAAATAAGAATCTATTGTTGCAGATAGTGGTGGTCTCTCACGTATCTTCCATTTTCTTGTAAAATGTATGTAAATCTTTGTAAGATACAGATGTGTATGTCTCTGGGAATGGGATTCATAAAAGTGGAATATAGAATATTTTAATGTTAATAGCATTGATTTTTCTTTCTTGGACAATAGTTTGGCACGCCATTCTTTGATAGACCTGTTTTCTGCAGCCTGGTTGTTGTAAGAATGGCTTAGTGATCTGATGCCAAACAGACTTTCTAAATATTTTTCACATGATGTGTAATTTGCACTTGAAGACATTTCATATAGCAGGCATACTGTTGAAAATGAAGAATTTTCATCCCCATATTTTTCATGCATATCTACATGCTGCTTAAAAATCTCCCCATGAGCCAGTTTATACTCATGTGAGTTGGGTTTTCTTTATTTTGAATCATGAGCTGAATCCATAACTCAACCTCTACATTTAAAACCAAATAACATGAACTGATTGCAGGTCTGTTTTTAAGTAAGTAAAGTTTTGGTTGATTTTAGTGAGCAAGAGGGACTAGATACAAGGATTCTCCTGTGTGGGTAAGACAGCAGGAAACATATCAACTTGAGTAAAATCAAAAGGCTTGTGCTTTGCTGTCAGTAATTAATAGCATCCTTCTGATGTTTGGGTTCATTTATGCCTGATGCTTGGTTTCATCTATGCCTATGTTTTCTGACACCAGAATATGTAGCTCAGGGAAAAGGCATTTTAAAGATGAGAAGCTAGAGAATTTGTTCTGGTGTTTTTTGTTTGTTTGTTTGTTTTGCTTTGTTTTGAGGTGGATACAAAGCTTAAGGGAGAACTCCAGATAGTAAAACGAGAGATTAATGTGTATATATAGTCATGGCTTTTACAGAGAGATAAACGTGCTGTATGGGTGGAAGAAGAGTTTCTTTGTATCACTTTGCTCTGGAACTACTGTCTAGAAAGCTGTCATGTACATGTAGCATGATAACACTGATTTTTGAACAGATTAGATCTCTCAGTTATGGGTTTATTATCCTTATTTCCAGATACCAACTGCTCCGCCAAGTTACACTGGACGACATCTCTGGTGAAAGGCTGTAGGCTGTAGAGAATAAGAATCCTTGTTGCAGATGTTGTTCCCTAACAGTGTGTCTTTGAGGGAGGAATCCAAAACAGTACCAGAACAAAGCAACAAAACATCCAGGAGCTATCGAAATCCTACAGAGGATTTTGTCTAAATGCGAACACCATTGAACTGATAATTGCAAAAACAAAATTGTAAACCTGAAGCTGAATCTGATTTAAAATAGAAGTAGGCACACCTTAAATTGGAACAGAGGGGATATTGTATTCTGAAATGTACGATATTCGCTTCTCTGTAAGTAGTGTGCAAGGCAAACCTGATTTTGTTGGTTGCCAGTTGCTTGCAAAATACCCTCCTCTCACCTAAACTTAATTTATGTTGCCACAAGAGATTGCCACTACAGTGTGAAAACGTGCAGGATTTCTTTCCATTTTGCTCCTTTTCCCTTCATTTCAAACGTCATGAAAAGTACCTTGTTTGCTTCATTATCTAGCTGTACTGTACAGTCACGTAGCATCATGTGTAGTCAAGCATTGTCACTCTGTGGCAACTAAAGTACCATGACACTGTAGGCTGATACTCTTTAAAAAGCTGGTGTAGGCAATGAAGTTCTGGAGGGATGAAAGATCTCCGCATGTTTCATGCGAGCTATGGAGCTTCTTGAGGCAGAGAGAAAGCGTAGGTCCAGCACAGAGGCAGCTCCTTGGCTGTGTGAGATCGATTCCCTGTTATTCCAGCCTCAACCCCGGGTGTGAGCACAGAGCCGTGCGCTCTCATGTCTCCTATGGACGAAGCCATTAAGTGAAACTTTGGAGGGATATACTTTTGCAAAGACTTAGCTGGGGACAGAACATGACTCGAGTTTGCCAGAAGGAGTTTGTTGTGATGGTGGATCAAGGGCAACCCACCGTACTGCCCGAGCCAGCCTGTTCTGTTGGGCTGATCGTGTCAAGCAGGAAAGCGGTGGCAGCTGAGACGTACTGACCACCTTTGGGGAGAAACTTGAGCAGCAGATAGGGTCAAGAGCTCCCTTTCCAATCCCTGTTCATATGAGTAGCCCCCCTGACTGCAGCTGTTTGTGCATTTAAACGTGGTTGTGCATTTTAGTGCCTAGCTAGTGAAATCTCCGTGCTGGAGGTGGTTTGTTGTTGTTTTTTTAAGGTGGTTTCTTCCCTACTCCTCCTCCTCGCCTCCACCTTTTTGCGTTGATATAAGGCAGACTTCCTCAAAGCTTCTTATCTTTGTTTTCTCCAGGGTATTTAAAAGGTTCCCATTGCCCATTGTTTGTGCCATGGTTTTTCATTATGTTTAAGCAATCATTCCTTTATTTAACATTTAATACATATCGGACATTGAAAACATCACTGTATCCTCACTGTTTGGCCAATGTTAATCTTAGCTTTCCTCGATACTAAAAGCTAAATGTTTTTACTTGAGGGCATAGGAAACATATAACAATTAAACTTTGCATATGGTGTAATAAAAAAATATATTTTCAAACTAAAAAAATATAATGTACAAATAACTGAATAGCTTAGTAGCTTCACAGAAAGGAGTTACTTGCTGTATACTGCAAAAGAAAGACAAGCTTTTTATTTTTCAAGAGTCTTCCTGATTCTTCATGTACCTCCATTTCTACTAAATTAGGAACATAGTCCTGCAGACTTGTACTCCCACGAGTAGTCCCATCGACACCAGTAGGCCTACGTACAGGTACAGAGGCTGCAAGACCAGTCCCTAAGCGTTGCACACAGATATATGTGTATATATATATATATATGGAAAAAATATATATTGCCATTCTTGCCATGATCATCTTACAGGGTTTTATTTCAAAGGCCTTTTCTTCCAGAAGCAACATTTTTCTGTCATGCATGAGTAAAGGAGTATGTAAGCTCCCCCCTGCCCTTCCCTCCTTGAGGCAAAGGAAGCATGTGCTTGTTTTAGGGATTGCTTGTTGTATTTTGTAAATAACTAGATGGCCTTAGTCACCAAGTAGGGTAGGGGTGGGTATTGCATGCTATCCAGAGACTTAGAAATACATTTTGCTTGTTTTAAGCAAAGCTCTGATCAAATAAGATAGTATTTAAGGTAATAATAGTTACCCAGAAGATGCATCATTTGGAACAATAAAAAACCTATTACCATCACTTGCCTGCAGAATTTTGCTTTAAAAAAACAAATTAAAAAAAACCCTCATAAGACTCTTCTGTGAAAACATATTAAGATGACCATGGCATAAATGGTAGGACAGCTTTCTTTTTAAAAGTTTATCATGCTACAACCAAGATTTATGAATTATAATACACATTTTACAGTCCTTGGACAAAATCTGTACAATATATAGTTATCTTAAGAAACTTTTTTTTCTTTTTCTAGATATGACTGAATTGATAAATAGAGTTCCCAATCCTGCTCCTGATGAAGTTGTTTGGAATTTGAGGCCTTATGCAAAGATATGGCCAGATCCTACAAACTGCTACTCACGTGACTAGTCTCATTGGGTTAGTCATGTGGACTATTCAGAAAATTAAAAATTAGCAGGATTGGGTTTAATTTGTGGTGGTGAAGGTGTGGCAATAGATTAGGAGGGTCTTTATTTTCCAACTTTATACAATTAGTAATAAGCAACTTTTTTTTTTTTTTGTAAGTTACTAGTTTGTGATATAAAATGCCCCAAATAAAACTGTAATTGAAGAAAGGCACCTTTATGTTAACTTATATTTTTGTTACAGTAAACAATTGTTTACTTTTGCATTTTATGAAAGTTATCTAGAATGTAGAGCATCTGCGAACAACATAATAAGTAAGTAAGCACAAGCCTTTCGCAGTTCAGTTAATTATAACGAGCTTCTGTACTATAAAAGCTACGATGTTGTCCCTTGATGGTTATGTGCTCATGGTGTTTCCATGCAGAAAAATGAAATCATAAAGCATTTGAAAAAACTACTACTGGAACAAGATTTATAATAACTGGCTTTTATCAAGTTCAAAGCCATACTTTGCAGATCCTGTCCTGCTTTCAGGTGAGTTGAGGGTATTTGACACTTGCCAGAAAATATGTAGCATCTTCAGAAAAACACTCTCAATACATACAGTTGTTTCTATAAACAAGGTACATGGAATACTATAGAACTAGATGCTTCTGGTTTTAGTCTACACACAGGCATCTTGGTTGGCTTTGTTTGAGCTTGATGCCTTGTGTCTAAGCAAAGGCCATGCAAAAGGGATCATTGTAGCTTTTATAATAAAACAATTGGATTATTCTACCAACTTACAGGATTACAAAGCAGGTGCTTTTTATTAATTGATGAGAGCTAGAGCTCATTTTTGATAGATAATATATATTTATTAAATGTATTAATGTGTGTTTTATAACGTACCCTTTTTTCCGCTGATTGTTGCATACTGGTATCTTATTAAGTACATCTTTAAAGGATTTTCAAGACAATCAATGTGTACCATGATGACTGTACATTAGTATACAAAACTACAAAGGTTGTAAAGCATGGGCAAATGTTTTATTTTCAAAATGCTGTTCTTAACAAGAATAAAGGCTTTACTATTTACTTACAATGTTTGTGTTAACTTGATGTTAAAATCCACCTAAAAGTTTTCCATTGCAGTAAATGGTGCTACAGACATCATTGTCCTGTGGTGATACTGTGGGTGTAATTCTGCAATACAAGCTCAGTTAAACTAAAGGAAACAGGCTCCTAGAGGCTAGGGCCACATTCCTCCACCTCTGGCCACATTCCCACTTTTACCCTTAGCTCTGGCACCTGTCAAACCCACACTGAGCCAGTCAAGGAGCTGAGCAGCCAAACTCTTAACACTACAAGTGGTTTGTTTTTTGTTGGTTTTTTTTGTACTTGGCTCAGCAGTTTCCTGTACTGGCTCAATTGCTAGTGCTTGTGAAAAGGAAGGGAGAGGATCATACAGCTGGGGTAGAAGAATGCAGGTTGAGAGTTTTTTTCTTCAAATGGTTTGATTTTCCTGTTCTGGTGCAACAACCAGCATCACCAACCAGGAAAAAAAAAAGAGAGGTGGGTATTGGTATAACATTGAAGACAAAGTCTGTGTAAGTGATGGAAGAAATCCATGTTGAACCACAGCAAGAGCTAGAGGGTATCCGTGTTTTATCATGCTTTCATTCAAAACAACTAGACCTTTGTTTGACTTGCATGGAATTAGTAGTAGAGCTGCACATATCTTCTCTAATTGTGAAATTATAAAAGCCTAAATGGGACTATGCTTGAAAAGACTTGAGTTAAAGAAAATAATGAGGGCTCCTTAGCGGGGGATTTTTATTTTGCTTGCACCTTATGTAAGTAAGTACACATACATAAGATCCCTGAAAATGCTATCACTGTGATCTTAATTTTACACTTTCTCAGCACATGTGCTAAGTGGTAACAAAAGCGCCTTTGACTTTTTTTCCCTGCAGAAATGCAGAGCAACCCTGGCTCTCGCTGCCTTCAGCTGGAAGTGCAGAGGCACAGCATTTCTGAAATCAGACTGTTATGAACAGAGCCTGGATTTGTGTAAATTGTCACAGCTCTGCAGAAGTCAGTGAAGCTGTTCCAGTTTATACTAAACTAAGATTTTTACCTTAGTTTTAACATTTGCCTACATGTGAGTGTAACTCTATCTATTTAATCCAGAGTCTTGTCCCTGTCAGAAAAGCTTGCAAGAGAGCATTCAGAAACACAAGATAAACACAGACTGGAAATTTTTGGCTAAATGTTCACAATTCCATCTGTTTAACAGAATTGTGCTTGCACTAGGACTGAATTTTTTCTTGGCATGCTTGGTCTTTACATAAATCTCCCTTAGATTTACAGCACCTCGCACATAAAACTATAATGCTAAGAGTGTTTCTAAATCACTACCACAGAGTTTCATCCATGAGCTCTATGCTTTGTGATATTGGTGAGAAAACTAAAATTGAGATGTTGAATGATTTTGTGTATGTTCTTCTGAGTCTTCTGATTTGCTTCCCACTGCAACCATACAAAATAAAACATTAAATACTTAACTTTCCAAAACATCCATAGAAACAAAAAAGGTAAACATCCATACTTCCAAAGCAAATACTCTATTGTTCAATAAATTGATAAATAAATTATCCCCACCCAACCCAAAAGACCTATTTCTTCCATGCATTGCATTTTTTTGTTTTGACACAGCTTCTACACTCAGATACTTGTACACAGTTCTCAGTGCCATCTGTGGGAGTTGTGCATGTGTAGCTGAGGGCAGAGTTGTTTGCTAGTAAGAAGTTACTGGATTGTTCAAAAAAAATGAAAGCTGGTCTTTGAGGTTTTTGCTTTGAAGAATTTTCAATTAAAAATGATGAAGTCATACAGTTCACCTGGTGTATAAATATATTTTTGTCATTTAGGACAACAAGCAAGGTCAATAAAGAATAGTTTTTCTATGTCTCAGTGGAAAGAAGAATGTTATCCATGTGATTGCAAAGGGTCTGCCAAATGGGAAAAATCAGTCAAACAAAGAGCACGGGGTTGCTTGCTGGAGTAAACAATTCTAAATTAACAAAAGCTCTACATAAAAGTAAAATCTCCCACCCCCCTAGTGAAAGCTGTTTTCAAAGCTCTGTATTCTTTCAGAGTGCTGAAATACAGATTAACCTAATGTTTTTCTCCTGCTGATACAACGGTCTGGTTCCTCAGTCTACTTATGTGATTTCAGCTGTCACAGTCTGTTCTTAATATTTTACAAACTGCCTTTTAATTTGTAAAGATAAAAATCTGTTTTTCTACTCCCTACACCTCAGAAGATGCATCTGTACTGTACAATTTTCATATCAAGCAAGTTT